ACACACAGTCACTTGTGCTATATTCCCTCTCCTTACCCCCCCTCCCCCACACACACGCTCACTTGTGCTATACTCCCTCCCCTGGTGCTATACTCTCTCCCCTTACACCCCCACCCCACACACTCGTCTGTGCTATATCTCCTCCGTTTACACCGCGACCCCCATACACTCACCTGTGCGTGTACCTGTGCCATACCTCCTGCTCCCACCTCCTAATCCACCTGAGACCCCACAATGTTCAGAATGTTCAGGAAGAGCACCACCACGTCCACAAAGAGCAAGGTGGCCGCGAACACGTGCATGTCTGGCCGGAGTGAGTAACGCTTGCCGGACATCAGGCTCTGGGTGTCCATCACCAGGAACTGGACATAATGAGTGATAATGACAATAATTTAGGAGACTGTCTAGTGGTTAGGCTACCGGACTAATTTTTGTGTGCTTGTGAAAGGCATTTTACTCGATATTTCCATAATTTGGCTCAATCCTTACAAAGTTGGACGTTGAATTCGTGGGTTCCGCCTCATAATTTTTTCTGTGTTTGCAAGGGTCGTTAAATGTATCACCATCATCAAGTGCCAGATTTGCAAGAGACATCAGCGATCATGGTTCTCCCTTCACGCATGTGCACATACACTCTTAAGCTATATTATTGTTCTGACCTTTCCCCGTCACCCATCTGTTTAGGCTTTCCGCGTAGGTTGCTCTAGGTCTTGCTTGTTTACCTTCAATTTTGCCAGTGAGAGCTAGAGGTTCAAGACTTTTCAACCTTTCAAAGAAATCTAATACAAGTTCGCAAGTCAAGGTAACAGGCAGCTTCAAACTTCTTTGTCAGGGCTAATGCATGGCTGAGAAATCACCGTTATGCAGAAGGTTAATTGTCACCCTTAACCCCTCCCCTTCCGAGTCAATAACAGTCATCTACAGCAGAGAAACAATAAAGCGTCAGACGAACATGACGCAAAGAAAGAAATGAAATAGGACCTGACAGAAGCGCCCTCCAACCACACAGGAACTGAATACCGCAACAATACCCCGAGAGTCCCAATTCCGCCCAAAATTATGGATTCTGAGTTGTGGGCATTTTTAGCTTCTTCAGCCTCCATTACAACTATTCCATCGCATAAGAAACCCCCAAAGCCTTTTTTCTTCCCATACCGGACAGTTTGTTACCACCATTTTCTCATAAAGTCAATCTTGTATTTTTCTTTATTGCCCGTTTTCTCAAAATGCAGTTTCCTATATACTTTTTTTATTAACTCCTCCAGTTTTTATCCAATCTTCATGAATTTTTCACAGAATGAAGAGAAGATTTAATACTCAAAGTACTTCTGTTGAATTTTTTATATATGTAATTTTTAGAATTTTGTTGATGGTGTCTGGAATGTGGATTTCCACGGATCTTTTTCAAACTTGAATACTACCTCAGGAAAAAATTCAATAAAAATGTTCTAATTCTTGTAAGAAAAATTCAACAAAAGGTGTGTAGATCTGATGTTTGCTAATATGCATGCAAAAAAACCCAATCTATTTCCATGAAATACCGTGCGGTATTCATTACGTACGACAGGCCAACAAGATCCAATATGTTCGCTATATCCAAAGAAACGAATTCTTTTTCTCAAATTAGATGGCAGCTTTTAAGACTCCTTATGCCTACTATGCTCGTTATATGTGTGAAATTAGGTATAATCTGATCCACTAATAAACGAGATAGGCGTAGCCTTCAA